TGGGAGGGTCTACATGTGTTCTTCCCTAGTGAACACAGGAACCAATTTCTGTAGGCTGATACTTTGACTATAGACTGACAAATTTTGTTCTAATTTCTGGAGGTTGAACTTTAACCTACCCATTACCACCAGCAGTAGCTATAGGTTGAACTTTAATTTCTACTCTTTATTAAGAAATTTGAAACTAGTTAGCATGTTACCTTGAGATAATCAACTATGACTGCTATGACACACCATTTTTTTAGGAATTCACTAGAAGGAACCAAACAAGTAAACGATGTAGCAATCCACTAAGTAGGTTATTACCAAATCATATTGAATTTGATAGTCTCCAAACAAACAACTTCAAGTTACAGTCTTTTATGTTTATAGGTTGCAAATAGAATTTGATCTCATTGATGACGGTAGCCTAAAATTAATTGAGCATAAATGATTTTTCACACACTAAATGGGGTTCTCTGGACACACAAGTCAAATTCATTTTATACATTTCAATGCAAGTCCTGCTAAGCAGGCCAGCAATTCAAGCCAGTCACTACTCACTAGCATCTCAACCATTCACCAACTTTCCTAATTGTGATTCACATCCACTGTCAGTACTTGCTAATGAATAAACAGAAAAGAAAGAATATAAAAACAATTAATCAAATCAACAATAATAAAAAACACCATTTATGCCCAACTGTCACCCTTCAACTGGAACACTATCCTTTATGTTCTCTTATGACAGCATGGATGTCCAATTTGGATATGGACTCATACTAAGGAAGCTGAAGAGCATGCTTCTTTTTTGCAGAAATGTTGTGGGATACTTCCCATGCAGAAAATCATCAAGAAGCAGTGACACTGATAATCCTCAAGACCCTTATTTTCTCATATTATATTCAGCAGATGCATTCTATAAAGGAACTCCTTCCAACTTCTCAGAACTTCCACCTCTGCTACTGCTACTACTGGAAGAGTTGTATTCTGAAACATTTTAAATTATTCAGCAGTATTTATTGCTGACAAGTACAATGCTAGAGTAGAGATGAATCTCAAACAGATCTAATTGACAGTGCTAGGGAACAACTTCAGTTGCCGATTCTTAGGAGTGGCTTATCATTACCTTTAGGACACAAATCAAGATCAGATAAATGAAAAATGCACCAGGATGGACCTTAGCCTGCCCGATATTGCCAGATTAGAACTTTTGTTCTTTAAGCTTAACATACCACATGCCACTCCTAGTTGTATTATAACTCTTCAATCTGCACCCTCAGATCTAGATAGTTATCTTGATATGAAAATAAAGTAAGAAGCTGAGTGCTACAATGCATTGATGTGTTGCAGCCTGTTCTGACCCAGATCTCAGCAATCACATGCTCAGCATGCTGGACCTTCTCAGCCCGAGTCAGATGTGGGTGCTAAATCAAGTGCTGAAACAGATTATCAAGCTTGCAGATCTATTTATTAAAGCTTTCAATTAACTTAGAGTAGATTTTATCATAACCATATGATTGGGGTAGGGGCAACCTTGTCATTGTAGTGGAGTATATCAGATAGCTAGGGTGGTAATAAATTATTTTGATAATTCTTTTCCTGTTTGGATTTTATAATAACCACTACCGGTTAAATTAGGAACTTTTCATTGTACTGGTTGTCTTTGGAGCAATCAGTCATAAAATGGATAGGAGCTGGATTTATCTTCCAAGGTACCCTTCGTAGTACATAGCCTCTCTTCTAGGAATAGATTTCATTATATAGTATTTGATTTGGTAATATGTTGTTTGGGGTTTAATGCATTATGTAGGAATGATCCAACATATATTGAGGGAGCGTAAAAATTTATTGAATTTGTTGTTGGTGAATGAAGAAACTAAGGGACTAGATGCATTTGCAGGGGTGGGGTCTAATACAGTAGCTGAAGAATATTACAATTTGCTAGGTGATGCTGAATGAGTTGGCTATCTAACATACTTGTATATGATTATAGGCACAAGCTACAACCAATAAAGATAACCGCTCCAAGCAAAGATTAAAGCACATTGCTGGTGCAAAAAGTTATGCAAGGATTCGGTAAGAGTTGGTAATCGTATTATTTGATTTACTAAGTTTGTTGTTAGTAAATCTTTTATTTGTTAAGAGTGAATATATACAATCTTTTTTTTGATAACAACGAAAGGAAGGGAATAAAGAAATCTCACATACTGAGGTATTTATTGCGACTCATAGGAAGAAAGATGGGGCACCTGTTGATCCACAATCTGCTGAGGTAATGGTAACCATATTTTAAATATGAAACCTTATAATTTATTAAAGAAATGTTAAACCATTATTATTAATAACATAAATACAAATGGTCTTTTAATGCATTCAATATTTGTGTTCTATTTAAGGAACAAATGCAAAATTATATGTCACAATATCCAGAAGTTCAGATAGAGGATAATGGACCGAATAACATATATGCTCATGTTATGGGCTCAGAACGTCATGGCCGAGTGCGTGGACTAGGGTTGGGTCCAACCCCAACTAGGTTCAATGGCCCCCGACAAAGGAATGATGAACTGGAGGCTAGATTGGCCAATAGACAGCTAATAGCTTGTTTATATATATATATATATATATATATATATACACACATTAAATTTTATTATGGACTAACAGAATTTAACTGTAAGTGTTACTTTTTATCTCAAACATTTATTGTAAAAATACTACAAAGACATTTGTTAATGATTGAATTGCATTTGTAGGAAAACACAAAATGCTATTTGTTGACTAGCCACTGAGGGATGTTTGCCTCTGTAGCAGAAGCAACTGTTATAAGTACCAACCCATCAAAAAATGTAGGTGGCACCCAACTTGGTCCAAGATGGACTGAGGTTGTGATTGACATTCCTATTATCAATGATGCACCTCTAGTACGTCCACATGGACGATATAGAACAATTGGAAGTGCTGTTGGGGTACCAATTGCTTGGTTTTATGGATTTGTAAGATTCCTTTACTATTTGTATCCTTTGAATCAAACATTTCAACATAAATTCTAATATCTATCCTTCTTCTTTTGCAGACTGAAACAATTTCTCAAGTGGATATGTAGTAGGAGCATGGGATATCACTGGATCCCCTGTTTTGTTTTGAATCCCCGCTTGTCTTGCTAGAGAACAATTGGATTTTTTATTCTGTATTTTATTTAAGATGCTTATAAAAAATATTTTTTTTTTATATTATATGATTTTGTTCAAGTTTCTATCTTTTCTTTTGGTTGGAAAGGAATGATCAGTCATAAGGATAATTCATTGACAAAACTGCCATTATCATTCGGTTTGATATTATTGCAAGAAAGCTTATTTAGTATATTAGTTTTTTGGTTCAGCATTTTTTTTAATCAATAACTGGTTGTTGAGGAACAACACCTCCTTCTGTGCAGTACTCATGTACCAAAAGTGGGTGGGATGTTTCCATTGAAATTGTTATTTGCTAAATTTATTACAGAAGCTAGTGACTTCCCAAAATTTGAAGGAATCTTGCCCTCGAACTGGTTGTTGTTGAGGAAGATGGTGTCCAGTCTCTTGTTGAAAAGCTCTTTCGGGATGGGTCCTAAGAAGTAGTTGAATCTTAGGTCCAAGTAAATGAGGTTTGGAATGAGGAGAGTCATATGGCAGAAGATATGTTTGCTCAAGTTACCTTTGATAGACAAGAAGATTCCGATACAGTCATGGATACTTCTGATTCTGAACATAATGATGTGAAGTATATGATGGAACAAAATACTAACATAGTGGGGAAAGAGTTACTAATTAAATCCCATGAAAGACCTCATTGGTATCTTTCCAATGTAGAGATGCAGATTAACTCTAGGAGGATTCCCATATTCCCATTTGGAAGAAATCTAAGGTACTTTTAATTCGAGTTGTAAGATACCCTAACATGTCATTGTGTTATGTTCTGGTTATGATTCTTTCACATTTTTCTAGATTTCCTTCTATATGATGATTCCCATGAGGACCAATGAGAGGTGGCCTACTAAAGATTATGCCGATGGGGAGATTGAAATTAAGAATTTAATTACTCTGACTGGTTTGATTCCTTGCCTTGCAAGGTTTGATATGGTAGAAGTATTGAAGTTTATGACAATATTCTGTAAAACTTGCAGATACACAAGATTCATGGCTCAATTAGAAGATAACAACGCTGGGAAGAAACACATTCAAATTGATATCAGTTCATACACTGTTTGCCCATGGTGTTTTGTTGGCAAAAGAAATCTGGATAAAGCTATAACTTCATCAAAGGATAGATTTGATTTTGAGGTTCACTTCCTTATTATTTTTCTTTTTTCCTAAGTTGTTTCTTTTTTCACCACATGTTGGATTTACTACTGGTTAAATTTTCAGATTAGATCCATTTTTCCTTAATCTTTCTGCCCCAAAAGGAGTTAACAAGGCAGAATTTTACACAACGAAGTTTGGATCTCGGGCTGAACAAATTAAAGCTTGGATGACGGAGGTTTTTCTCATTTATCAAATCACTTAATGTAGAGTTTTTGTTTCCTTTGTTTTGTTTAGTTACTAAAAGCATTTTGAAAGCTTTAATTCTTGCAGATATTTCGGGGTTATGGCCTTGATTATGACATGTCTGGGCTTACGTAAGCATGCAATGTGGCTTAATCGTAGATACCATTATGTAGGAGAAAGATGGCCTTTGCCAGAGTTTCAATTAACCATGATTCAATAATTCAGGGGGAATATTTTGGACACTCACAGGCTCGTAGCATTTGCCAGACACCAGGGTCCTGATAAGCAGCGTGCTCTTGTGGAGGAATTCGGTTTGGGCTACTTCACACGGGGAAAGTTATATAGGAGATCGGTATGTGTGTATTGTTCTACCGGTATAAACTTGGTACTATGAACGGATGTTTTCCTTATAATGTGAACTACAAGCTGTTGCACTCACTGTTTTCTCCGAAGCAATATTGACCCTATTGGACCAAGCATGGGAGCTATCAAAATTGATACTTGGATACTTATTTGAATAGATATTTCTTTTTTCTTGGATGCTTATTTGAATAAATGTTTATTTTCTCATTTTATTTTTTGCTGCAATGATACTTGGAACACTTTAGGTTTCAGCAGGTGTTAACTGAAATTCTTATTGAAAAAAAAATTTAAACACCTAAGCCGACGGTCAAACAAGCCGCCACCTTTGGTAAAGCATTACACTTAAATCGGGGGTTTATATAAAGTCTACGCCGGCGGTTCAAACCGCCACCTTTGACGAAATAAAACATTAATGGCGGTGGTTTAATTACATCAAATTTTAGTCTAAGCTGGCGGTTGAAACTGTCAGATTTGATTACAAAATTTAGCTAAATCGGCAGTTTATGGAAGTGACAAATTAATCTAAGACGGCGGTCAAGGGCACCGGCTCAATAACTAAACCGGCAGTCAAGGCCACCTGTCCCAGTGGTTTGGGCTACCACCGGCTCAATAACTAAGCCAACGGTTCTCTAAAAACTGCCAGCAAATGTATGGTTGGCATGGGTCCCTAGGCCGACGGTCTTTGTATTTTAGACCGGCGTCCACGACCTAGGGCGACGCAACTATAGATGGCGGCCATTGAACCGCCGACAGATATCTATACCGGTGGTTTAAAAAGCTAAGCCAACGGTTTAAAAAATGCCAGCTTAGTTTAAAAAATGCCAGCTTAGTTGTTTTTTTTCTTGTAGTGTTAGAATTGTCACTAGTTAATATATCTTCTTTGGATGAAATCACTTTGATTTGGAGAAATCAAAGACTCAAACCTTGGCTTTAGTCCATTGACCAATACCCTTAGAGATGATTTTATATATAGTGTTAGACAAACTGATTGGTCTAAAATGACGAACTTCCTTTGGGTGAGGGATTTTTGGAATAAGGGTTATATAGGTGGATACCTCATTGAAAAAAACCCTCATCTACCATTCTAAAATCGTCATGAACTATAGCAATGCAGAATCCTTATCTACTTTCCTAGGCTCCATTTGGAATAAAGTCCAATTCTTTCCTCGGCAGTGACTTTTTTTTTTCTAAATATGTTGCATCTTCCATAGAAATAAAGAATCTCACATAATTCAAAGCTTCCTCAATGTCAAGTAGGTTGGAAGAATTAAGAGATCCTCAAAATAGTCAATAGGGACTTTTGGGACATCTTGGGGACCCTCAACCCAATTCCCATTCTTATCAATAATCTTTAAAATCCTGTTACTGGCTCTTCTTCGTAGGAAGTTTGGTGGAAAAAATTAGTATTTTTGTCTCCCCAGTTAAGCCATCTAATTCTTGACTCCTTGGACAACAAGATCTCCTCCTTTCCTATATTTATCAAGTTTGTTTTCAATTTTTTTGATTTCATCGGGATTATACTTATCCATCTTTTTTATAGAAAATTCAAAGAAGTCTATCTTTCAGCTCTTCAATTTTCCCTTGAACTAGCCAAAGCCTTCCTTATACCATTTTTTGGAGTGTTCTTTGCAAAACAATACTCTTTCCTTTTAGACTTAACGGGTTATCTCCACTTTGGTTTTTCTCCCACACTTCCTTGATCACCCTAGAACAATCTTCATGGTTAACCACATTTCCTCAAATCCAAAGGGGTGACTTTTCTATAAATGGCTGCATCCAAACATAGAGTCATGGGAATATGATTGGAGCCGTTGGAGCAGATGTGACAACCCGATGCATCTTTAAACCAATTCCTCTAAGTAACATTACTAAGCCCTTTGTCAATAACTTCCTTAACATGACCTACTCCTCTCTTGTTTGACGACATAAATTATGGTCCAAAACTTTTAATCTCCTCAAGACCTAATTCATTCACAAACTCTCTATTCTCTTGTTGGCTTCCCTCTTTAAGGACATCTTTGACCAAATGGAACCTGATGTAGGCACTTTTGGTAGGCTATTGGCATGTCGATACGTGGCTGAGGGCAGAGCCAATCAGCGTGTCTGTGGGGTGGAGGTCAGTGTCCAACGTGGGACCAATGGCTCAACTATGCATAGCGAGCTCGAATTACTGTCTTGTCAGGGCCTGATCGCATCCTGACCGTCCGCATGCGTCCACCTACAAGCGACATCAAGTATAAATAGGGCACTACCCCCTCAAGGTAAGGGATCTTGGAACTCATCCCCTCTGGCTCTGGGCTCTTGTTTTCCCCATGCTCTCTGGCTCTCTAACTCTCTGGCAACCTCGTCCGCTTCTTTGCTATGCCCTCACTAACTTGACCATCAGAGTCCCCACCTCGGGTTATCATTTGGGGCCTCTGACCTCCCCTTTCTCATAGGTACTCGACCTCAGCTGACCTCGATCGTGATCTCTGGAAGACTTCACTAGCCCTCGACCACTACACACTGAAGGCTCCCCTAGCCTTCGACCTCAACAGCCCTCGGATCCTTCATCCACTAGCCAATTGGTCCAGGAAGCGAAGCAAATCTATTGTATTGTCCTCGGCTAATACGAGCATCAACAAAACCAACCACAAACTGGCCTTGAACCGCCCCTACCCAATCTGTTATAGGGTATGGTCTGGTTCCAAATTCTTGGAACTGACCCATCCAAGCCAGTTCTAGGGTTTAGGGTTTACCCTACCCAAACCAACCCGATGAATTGACTTTGGTTGGCTTTGGTGGAACCGACCTTGTTGGAACCAGCCTTGGAACTGAACTTTCTTTGAAATAAACCCCATTAGGGTTGTTCACGAGTCGGGGTGGGTCGGTTTAGTACTGCTTTTTCAACCGACCTGACCTACTTAGGTTACCTATAGACCAAACCGAAACCGACCCTCTATTAAGTAAAACCAACCTGGTCGGTTTGAGTCGGTTTGGGTTGGTTTGAGTCAGTTTGGGTTTCAACCAACTCCTAGTGCTAATATTATATATAATATTTTAGAATATATTTTCTAGAAATATATATTTAAAACCAAAACATATATACAAATATATCGAAATATATATTTTCTAATTCTGGAAATATATATCTGATATATTTTAGAATATATATTTTTTTACATAACTCGGTTTGTGAAAACCGAAACCGAACCGAATTACTAGTTTGTTCATTTTTTCAACCCAAAACCAACTGGTAGTGACAAAAAACCGGCCAACTCGGGTTGGATCGGGCTGGGTTGGTCAGTTTTGGTCGGTTTGAATTTATTTGTGAACAGCCCTAAAGGTCATGGTCTCACTTGACCACTGAGTTACTGAAGTGATTTGATCAATTGTTTTCATTTTAATATTTGAATGTGTACAATAAGTAGTGTAAAAAATAATATTTACAAAATTTAAATTTAATTTATAAGTTTTTAACCATATAATGGTAATGTAATATTAAGTTATCGAATTTAATCAGTAAAGATAATATAAGTTTTAAACTATACACTATATTTATTAAAAATCAAGCTTTTAAAGAACATGTTTTTTTTTTACGAAGGGGGAGAGTAAAAAAGTATAAATTCCATGGATGGACTCTGAAACCAACACCAAAACCACCAAGGCCAGAACCGACCCTAGAACCGAACTTCTCAGTGTAGGTTCCAATTCCAAAAACCCTGAACTGACCCCTATAGGGTAGGCTCCAGGTTCTGCCATGGAACCAAACTAAACCAGCCAATGCTCATCCCTATACACAACTACACTACTAACATAAGAAGTAAAAGTAAGTGAATAGGAGAAACCTAAATCCTACATATAACGATTTTGCTGGTTGCTTCTTTTTCCTAACCCAGCTCTACAAGCTCTAAGATTGACCTAGTTCTCTTCAAGTTTTGACTCCGCTTGGTTTTGGTTACGTGAGCCATTTCATTACCAAAAGATGCAACCTTCCATTTCTCGCTTGTACCAATTTTTCCATCCACCAGATTGCGTGTAAAATCAGGTCTGCTGACTTCCTTGATATTACCTTCTACGATTTCTTCTATAATAACTCTCGATGATTGCCAAAACTGTGAAAGGCATTTAACACTTTCTCTGTACTCCTTGTTAACCTCACTAAAATCAGCAAATTTTGAGTCAAGCACCATCTGTTGAAGCCCCTAGTTCTGGCCACCCATGTTGTTGGAGTAGTTGGACTGCCGGTAAGGTAAACTCGAATGTTTGGCCTAAGTACGTAGAGCCGTAGAGGTCTGTTTGAACTCAGCAAAATCTTTTCCAAATTTTGGGACTATGTAATCACCACACTGAACACTCTAGCTTAAGTCACTGCTCCCTTCATCATTGTTGTAGTTTTTTCAAGTTCCATTCTTAAAGCAAGTCTAGATGGTTCCCCTTATAAATCATTTGTGCTTCTATCTTCTTCTTCAGAATCCACCTTCTACTATTGAATCTTCTCTGGCATGCTTTGATCCATCCGTCTCTTATCCAGGTTCAGGTATTTTAAGTCATCGCCATTGTCTTCAACGTTCAACTAGAGCCCATACTCTATTGGAGCACTTTCCTCTCTCATGACCTATTCCACCGTTCTTTTTACAAGCTACTCAATTGGATCTTTTTCTATTGACAAAACATAGGTCCTCTCACCATGGCCAATCCTTCCACACTTCAAGCAAAAGAGAATCAGCTTTTGTTATTGAAAGGGGTACCACATTGGATTCCCCTCATGATTGACGGTTTGAACACCCTTAGCAATCAGTTTAGATACATTTAAATTGACTCTAATCTTCTAGTAATCTCATTGTATTGACAAATTCACCTCATTTACTCAAATTGTACTCAAATCATGCCTCATGTTGGACACTTTCATAAGGGAAGTTTTCCATTAGTTGTTAACACTTGCAAACTTGATAGTTTAGCTCCCTAATTCTTATATATATATATAGGTGTTATTAAGTAGAGGTGTTTCTAGTTCATGCACAATAGTCTCCCTTGGGTTACTTAGATCTCATCCTTGTGTTCAAATCAAAACATGGGAATCGGCATCCATATAGGAAAGAGGGAAGGGTGTCTAAAACCTTCCCTCTCTCTTCCCCAACTTACTTAGATTGTCTCTCCTTGGTATTGGAG